CGGGAGGGCGGGCGGGGCCCGCCTGGGCACTGCCCCCGTGGCCTGGCGGCGGCCCGCCGGAGCCCCGACGTGTCCCCACCACCCGCTCGTGGGGCTCTGCCCTGCCGCCGCTGTGTGGCGTCGGGGTCCTCCCTTTTCCTCCTCTCCTGCAAGTTACCGAGATACTAATTCCCAGGGGGAAGGGGCTGGATTAAAAAAGAAGTGGCAGGCTAATGGTGTGGAGTAGTGTTCTGCTCTGTAGTGTTTTTCCGGTCATGATTGAAAGGGGGAACTCGTGGCCACACTGCAAGGTAGAACTGAAGCACTGTGAACGGCATTTGGGTGCGTAGGAGGGAACAGAGGCTTGAAAACGACACTGTGGTTGTGCTTCCCGGTTCACTTGCATTTTGTCTGGAACTGGGACTTATGCTGTGCACTGGTTTTGGTCTTGGACTGGATGCAATTTTTATTTAATGTATTTTCCAGCTTTATTTCTCTCATATATTTGTCCTGTGAGGACTATGGTTAAGGGCAGTTGTCCAGTATCCTGATGGAGTGGCTGCCCTGTTACCCTACATCCTGGACACCTGAGGGACAAATTATTATTTTTGTCTTTAACGATAGAGCTCATCATAAAGTGGCTGCTTTTCCATGTCTGGTTCTTGTTCTTCACTCTTCTTAGTTTAATGCTTCTCTGTATAAAGGCCAGAATACCTGAAGCTGAAAAGATTCAGCCAGTTCCTAAACGTATCTCTGTGGTGTTCTTAATGTTTTTAAGGAAAATTACTTTTTTTGGAAGTCAGTGGAAAACTTACATAGATAAAGTGCAGCTGAACACCAAATAGACTCTAGCCTTGTAATACATTTTAATTAGCCAGTATTCCATTGTGGTGGTGTTTTTTTTTTTTTTTTTTTTTTTTTTTTTTTTTGTATTACACTCTTGAACTGGAATTGAGTACATCAAGATGCCAAAAAAGGAGAGAGGTGATATATGAAGCTGCTTTAGATAGATTTAGTCTCTCTAGCTAACTTTCTTGTACCAGCACATTTTTCTTTTCATCCTAAGATGCATACATCACACATACCTGTTCATTGTTCTGTTGTTGACAGATAGAAATTTGTCAATAGAATATGCTTGGAAGACAAAACATCATGGGGATCTTCACGTTAAATTTAATAATTTCTCTGGAAGACTTTAGAAATATATCTAGTTGTTAAATATGCAGCTTTGTAACTGAATCCATGTGCATTTTGTAAAATTGTAACGTTTTAAACTACTGTGATTGGGAGATTTCTAAGAGTCTTCCATTTCTTTTACTTTTAAAATTATGGATTCTTCTGTTTAACTTCTAACTTGTTACCAAAATAAATTTGTTCCTGGAATTGATGGGAAGTAACTGTACACATGGTATAGTAGTGGGTGATATCCAGATTCATGAGAATAATACTTGAATCATGCTGAACAATAATATTAAGATTCAAATGGTTTCACAGACACAGTTGAAATTTTGTGTTGGGACCTTTATAAGTTGACCAGTGTGCTACAGATTCCAGCTGTTTCTGGAACACCTGGATCCTTATGTGTATGGTTTAGCTGTGTTGTTTTGTTTATTCTTCAGAACTGAGAAATTTATATGGCAGTTGAAGTTATCACAAATCCCAAACTCAAAATCAATATGGTGGTGAATGGTTATTACAGAGTACACTAGGTACACTATTCGGAAGTCCCACAGTGACCTCTAATGTTCAAGGATAAAACCTGAGTTGTTAAAGGAAGTTATTTTTTGAAGGCATAATTTTGCATATTCGTTTATACATTTAGTTTATTAATATGCCACAGTCAGTAGTTAGTAAGCAGTTGGTTCATCAGGTCTTATTGCTAGATTTCATGGCAATGTTATGTTGGGGAGTCAGTTCTAATTCCCCCCCTGTTTTGAGCAAGTATGCACAAAGCCTTCTTTATGGTTGTCATGGGGGAACTAGTTATTTTTGTAAAGTACACTGAAAATGGAAAACATCTTTCAAATATTAAAAACATTCTCTCTGTTCTTTCTTTTGGAATTTATTCATGTCATCATAAATATTGTCAGTTATTATTCTGTCCTTATACTCAATGTATTTGCACATTTGAAAGACTTGTTTTTTGTATATACTAATATGATTTTCCATTAGCCTAGAAGAAACTTTCCTGTTCTGTACTAAAACTTGATCCAAATGCAGAAACTTCTAGAGAGTTTGTTTCTGACAATAGTCATGTTTTGAGTTGAATACTGTTATTCTTAGGCCTCTTATATAACGTTAAGTATTCATATAACATTCAGTATTTTGGTTAAAATGGAATATTTCCTATTTTTTTATTTGTTTGTTTTTGCCTAAGTTTGAATCTGGGTAACCACAACTAACAGCAAAGTTTCATGGTACTTGAAAGAATCCAGAGAGTTGACTAGATAAACATGAAAATTAATTACAAATCAAAGGTTATGCTATTGTTTACTGTAAATATAATTTGTGAATTCAGTGAGCTTGGAAGCAACACCTCATTTATGCAGTCTACTCGAGACTGAAACATAAAAGCAGCTGGTCGTTGTTTGTAAAGGGCACTTCAATTTATAAAATTAACTTACTTTGCATGCATTGAATCTTTAAGCTGAAAGACAACACAGAACTTTCGGTTGCAAGAAGCTAAATAGGTGTTATGTTGTTCACTTGTGTTCCAAAATGGATGTATTTAGTACTTTCCTTTATGTACACTGTATGCTAATGATTATTAGTTTCTTTGAAGATACAGAAGTGAGTAAAACCAATTATTTTATCTTTTCTGTTAGAACAACTGGTACTCTGCCAGTCACTTGTGTGATAGTACTTGAAGACTTTGCGTTACATCTTAAGTTTAAATGCTCTGAAAAGATCCAATTTGTAACAATAACTGACCTTTTTGGTATTGCAATACCCACAGAAAAATGATCGTGTTGCTTTTCCATTTCTTGATTGCTTAAGTGTGTAAAATAGAATCCTGAATAACTTCTCAGAACTGAGGGGTGTCTGATTACCTCCATTCTGAACTAGTTGTTACTTTAATTACTGAGAGTAATTTTCATCTACAGTTGAATTTTCTTCCACTTTTGCTTTATATTTGAAGAGAGAAACATTTTGTTTGGAAATACAAGATTGTCCATGAGGATAAAATTCATGTCCTTGAGATACAAAATTAATTTGTAAGGTAAGCAATGTGAATTTCTTGCCAGTTACAACTAAGATGTGGACTGAGCCTTTGTGCATGAGATCAATCCCAGTGATGGGGTGTACTAATACTCGATTAAAAGAAGAATCTGTTCCATATTAAACTGATCTTTTTTCCCAGTAATAATTCTGTGAGAGGTTAGGTTGCTGATTGTTGTGGTTTAAACTTTTTTGTTGTGATGTGGTTTGTAAGCTGAAAAAGTTCATTGTGTTGATCTATTTTTGTCAGTTTCTGGGAACTTCTATGTATGTTACAGCTCTGAGAAGATTACAAAACTGGATTGTTATTGTTGCTTTTCTGTATTGTGGTGTACTGGAAAAGAATTTGCGTATTTCATAGTGATGGGAGCTATTACATGGAAATCACAATTGCTTTAATTCAAATTAAGGAATAAGAAAATTGTATATAATGGAGTTGAGGCTAACACAATGCTGCTTTGTATTTGGAACAAGGAAAACATCAAGGTATCGGGACAAAATGTCTAACCTAGGAGAAACACAACAGCAGAGCATGGCAGAGTATACATGTGACATACTGAAACTGTTGACTGGGTTAGGATTTGCTGCTTCACTAATACAAGAGTCATTTCCATATATGACATTTCCAAACTCACAATACAGTGGTATTGTTTAGTGACTGCATGCCAGGGGAATATGGGGAGATTAATATGATGGAGGAATACTGTGAGGAAAACCTGTGTGTAGAGTACATTAATGGAATAGAAATGTCACCACTATGGTGGAATAATACCAGGATGGAGTTGTCTTTATTGAAGGATAAATGAGGGCTCCTTCTGGAACTAGATGATGTTTTTAATTTAAAACTTAAATGGATGGATCTATTTTGATTATTTTTAACTGAAAACTTACATGGACTAATCTATTTTGATTTTTCTGTGGCATTCATCACCATCATATCTGTGTGCATCAGCCTGTACTTGGATAAATTTCTATGAATTAAATTAGTGTACTGAAAAGTCTGTGTACTTACACCATTACAAAAATCACTGTAATGTAAAAGTTATTGAAATACACATAGTGGGAAATGAGGGTCAGGTTGCATGGCAGTAGTTTGGTCTGGCCCAATATCATGAAAGGTTGTAGAAAATGCACATGCTATAAAGATCACACAAATTCTGATACTGAGCAGCATCCTGTTCGTCAAAATTGTTAGACCAGGTATAACCTTGTCTTCAAGTTGTACCAGTCTGAAAACAAAAGCTTTTGTGCTCAATTTTATATTTCATAGGGTACCAACAGAACTGGGATTATTCATGTGTTCTGGTATTTTTCTGTTATGAAAGTCTTCCTTGTTTTCAAACCATATATGCCTGATTTATAGTGTGATGCCACTGATTTGCAGAAAAATGCATGTTGCAACTAACGAGGAGCTGGTTATTTCAATGGATTATGGAACTGTGTATAGTATAGTTACTAATTTCTGAACTAGATCAAATAGATCCTTTCAAGCTAACATAGCAGTCTTGGCTGGGTAGTTGTTTTGCATACAGGTTGTAATTCCTTCCTTCCTGTTCCCTCATATGCCTTCTTGTAGAAGCACATCGAGGGCCGTTTTATTTCCTTTTGTGGAAGACTGCTAATGCCTTGTTTTTACAGCTATTTTTCCTATCATACTTCTGTGGGTAATTTTTAAGTACCTAGATTTGCAAATATATTGTAACCTGGGGCTTTCTGAATGTTACTTGATGATTTTCTGCAGGCTGTTTGATAAACAGCATCTTCTAATGTGCAGGCAAGTGTAAGAAAAATAAACATTTTATACATAGAGAGCTATCTAAATAACATCTCTGCTCCATATGTTGTAGTACCCACGAGAGGCTCATTATAATCCCTGGACCTTTTGTGCACCAAATACTTCAGTCCAGATAATGCTGTGCTCCATCTGCCTTAATCTCTGAGCTGCACAATGTGAAATTCTTAATGCTTTGACCTGCTGTATGCTAGCATTTTTGATCTTGGATTTTTCTTGTCCATGTTGCCATTTCAAACAAGTTTTCAAGGTTGCTGCTTTGAAGTTTGTCAGTTCTACTGATTTATTCTGTGTTTTTTTTTTTTTTTGTTTGGTTTTTTTTGGGTTTTTTTTGATTGTTTGTTTTGTTTTTTTCCCTAAACCAAGTGTAATTTACAAATGCTTAGAAGTGTATGCATCTCTAAATTATTTTTTCTGTGTTTTATGTGTTTGGTTTTGTTGTGCCATCTTTTCAGTGTTGTGATTTGTTGATCTTATTCAAGGTGTCACTGACTGGGCAGAGATCCAGAAATATGTATTGGTTAAATTATTTTCTTCAGCAAAGAACCTTCACTTGCTTCACTGACATGCATTTAAACTTGCTGTCAGCATAAACTAGACACTGCACTGGATTTCAGAATTTCACTCTGGAAACATGGTGCTCTTAAAATATTTTAGAAGTCTTTTGAATTTTACATACCAGGGAGTTCCATGCAGTATTATTAAACATTGATAATTCACAGAGATCTTATTTTTAGGAAGCATTTGAACTGTTACTGATTTATTACTTCAATGAATTTACAATTTTAAAATAGTCTATATGATTACCATCTTTTCATGTTTATATCTTAGGAAGTCATGTTGTGTCTTTCAAACTTGTTAGCGTATCTTTATATACCTATGAAATAATTAGCTTCTTACCCTTTTTGTTGAGTGTTACAAGTTTTCCAAGAAAATAGTTAATTTGAGCACGTTGAGGTTATAAAATATAATCTCTGAGAGTAGAGTATTATCTCCAGGAGTGATAGCTATCTAATGTTTTCTGTATTTTTAAACAAATACTCCAACGAGAAAATTACTTTTTTTTTTTTCTTTTTTTTTTTAAATTGTAAGGATCTGTGTTGTGTCAACCCTTTACCACCCTAAATTCTTTCTTACAGTAAATGCTTATTATTACTTTTCTCCCTTCTTTTCTCCTAAGACCACCTAAGTATAAGAAAATAAAACACTGCACATTTTAATCAAACAGTATTTATCACGAGGATTATCCATTCACGTGCACTGGCAGAAGATAGTACTGCAAAGTGTCTTTCTGCTGCCTACATTTAAGCTCTCCCCCTGTGGCAATGCAAGACAACTTGAAGCCCCTCTTACTGAAAGAGTGATGAGTAACCTTTACTGGCAGTTGGATGATGAACTATTGTGCCAGCAGTCGCATGGCAACTCTGCGTGTGAGTGTACTTTCCCAGTGGTAGATTCTTGTCTGTGATTTTTGGAGGGGAGAGATTTTGAAATAGACCTGGCGAAGATGTGTACACTGTTCAGTGAGATACTGACATGTTCTTACCTTTGTATTGAAAATATTTTGTTGTATGGAAGGACTTAAAGATGGATTTGTTATTCTCAAACTGTTTAAACTGTGGTGTGTGTATAGTTGCAATCTTGGGAAGAAGGGCTTCTGCAGTAGAGTAATCTACTTGCCTGCTCAGTTTGTGTCATGGGGAGAAGCTGTCCTTTACTGTGAGAGGTGGGGGAGCAGGAAACTGTCAGAATGTAGCGAGTGACTCGAAATTAAGGATTCATCTTGATGTGGATGGAAGGTAAAACCAGTGGTTTGATCACTTGCCTAGTAGAGGAAGGGAGGAAGGAAAGAAAATATTTCAGGGCAAATAGACAAGTCCTTCAGCACAACAGCTGTTGGTGGCTTTGGTGGCTTTGCAAATCAATTGCTTGTAGAGGTGATGTTGGTGTTTTTCCCCTGTTCTTTATACATACTGTGCCTTGTAATACTGCATGTGTCCAAACCCAGAGAAATAGAAGCTGAACTCCCATCTTTGTCCACAGCCGCTTAATACTCCTGGTGTGGCCTTGACCAAGTGATGTACTAAGAATGTAGCATTTTGTCTTAACTGTTTTAACGGGTCTGCTAGACTCTGTGTCACTATTAATTAGCTTGTAGTTCTAGAAGCATATGGTTGCTCTCCTGTGGATTGCCTGACCAATTGCTTTTCTTCAGATACTAGATTTTTCTGTAGATACCAGCATGGGGCTTTTGCAAGAAGTTTACAGTAAGATCTGTCAGTGGATTTAATAGAAGGGATGGAGTGAACATTCATGCTTCATTATTAATAAAAATAGGTTTGACTATGAGAAATTTAAAGAGTAAGTTTGTCTGATTTCTTAAAGTTTTTTAAAAAATTTCTAAAATCAGTCATATTGCAATACATGTCGGGCAATGTCTTTCAGCTCAAAGAGTGACTATAGGGAACGTGGTGAACATGTTTGTGGGTAAGATCTCAAAATTGTATTTTTGGGGCTGATACTGCTGTTAGAGTGGAGGAGGCCTGAGATATGCCAGACCTCATAGCAGAGGAGTAGAATTCCATCCAGAATACTTGAGAGGCGAAGTTCAAAATCAGTAGGTTGGGAGAAGAGTATTAAGGTTTATGAAATGGTATATTATTAAACAGTAGACAAATCCCTCATTTTTAGAGATTCTGTTTTTATGTGGAATAATTCTAAAGGTAAATCTACTGATTCAGGTAATAATCTGTTTTGGTGGATTGATTCCAGCAAGAAGTTCTTAAATGATAAGCTGAAAGGAAAGCATTTTAACATTTATATTGAATTGATGAGGTTTTTATTCTGTTTTGCAACCTATTTAAAATTTTTCATGAAAACTGTTGATGCAAATAGAAAATGTTTTCATAAAATATACAGAAAGAACATATAATCCAATTACAAGCATTAAGTACCTTTGGAATTTTTAATAGTTAAATTTACGAGCAAGAGTTATAGATTGTGGTGAAATATTTCCTTTTAGGAAGGAAAAAAGAGATTTAAAGCATTCTGAAGGTGAATGTCAGAAGTAATAGTAAAGATGTTCCTGTCTTTTAGAAGACAGATCTTGTCATTGCAAAGATATTAGTATCTATAAAGAATTTTAGTGAAGAATATGCTGATGGGTTACTTTGTAGACCCAGTTTTCCTCTCTTAAAGTGTAATGCTTTATGGAATTAAGAAGCTATATCTGTTGCAGAAATATTGCTTTGAGTACTGTTTCATCAGAGTGATCTGAATTTGTATTTTGCTTACAAATAATCACTTTCATATTTCTGAAAATGCAACATAGAAAAAATCATATAGTGAAATTCTATGTATTCTGTTTGTGAAAGGATTGAATGAAACTGCATGTATCTATGTTTTGCATTACTTTGGTTGAAAAATAATTCTGTATTCTTGAATATAATCACACTGAAAGGCTCAAAAGTTCAGGTCACAGTCTGTTTTGTCCTTCTTTTACTATCTGTCACAGTTAGGATGTGATAGAGGGAGCAGGGACTCCACAAACTGATCTTGTGTGGGGTCTACCAGGGATGCATTAGGTAGAAACATCAATGTAAATTGTATTTGCCAGTAGGTGAAGGGCAGCATTTCTTATAATGAAACTGAAGTTACATAGTCTTGTACCTTTGCAGCAGTACCTGGATATTCAGCTTGCTTTTCGGAGGTATAACTAATGCAATCAAATGATTTGTGTTTCAGTGTACTTTGTAGGTATTTTTAAAGAATGTTCAGGGCTAAATAAACAGATGGGATATATCACAATAAATGGTGAGTTGGAGTGGTATAGTCCCACGTATCATTACTTAGGTGCTCAGTCTGCCAATATTTTAACTTTCCGAGGTAGTAGTGAACAAGGAGTCATTGTGTTACTGCGTGTCCCTGTGACATGCATGACAATTTGAATTGATTTTACTTGTTTGCAGTTACCACAAGTGTGGAAATGATGCATTTGTGCATTTTTATTTGTGAAACTATTTAATAAAGAAGTTGTACTGTGTTGCAAATAGTCAGCTTTTCCTTATGTAACACAATCTGTCTTTGGAGATCACAAATTAATTATTATCAGTGTACGGAAAGAAAATGATTTACATAATTTTTATTGTAAACTCCAACTGAATGGTCTGTAATTGGTTATTTCAATCTAGTTGATTTTTTTTTTTTTTAAAGAAATACATAATCAGAATTTGTCTGGTTACATCAGTTTACTTCTTGCTTAGCTGAACTGTTATTGAGTCATTTTTATCAAGTACTTCTGCTACCACAGGATCACAAGAAGTGGTCACATTAGCTAAAGGGTAAATGTCAAGTATCAAGCTCTCTTCTGTAGAGTTTTAAATTCTGATGAAGATTTCTGTTCTTTTTCATTCTCATGTGCACATTCGTTTTTTTTTTTTTTCACTGTGGATATTGGGAGAACCTAACAGATAAAATAATTAATTTATTCTTGCTCCTATTGAATTACTGCAATGTTGTTGTTATTTAAAATTTGTTTTATAACTTTTTTTTTTTCATTTTATTTGTATTTTTCAGATTATGGCACGGGCTCAAGGTTTGGGGAAGAGATACATTAAAGCCTTTTTTAAAGGTTTCTTTGTTGCTGTTCCCGTAACGGTGACTTTCTTGGATAGAGTTGCCTGTGTAGCAAGGGTGGAAGGAGCATCAATGCAGGTATTGCTGGAAATATTTCTTGTCTGTCAGGAAATTAAAAAGTCACTATCCACTGACAATAGTAAGGTGGAAAAAAATATTTTTTTCAGTTGTTACTAAATGATCACATTGTAGTATGGAATAGTTTAATTTTGACTTTGCTAAACAAATACTTTTATGATGTAAAAAGAAAAGCTTTTGAGAACAAAACTTGCCAAAATTCTGTCTCAGTAAAAGGAAATTATATAGATGAGTAGTGTTAAAGATATAGATTTGGTTTTTTATCACCTTTGGTCTCTTGGGTTTGAATTGATGACTTACAAAGAGGCTTTATTAATTTTTACTAGCTGTATTATAGTAATTATAAGGCAAAACTGGTTCTTGCTATACTTGCTCTTACTAATGAACAAGTATTGCACCATTTCAGTGAAGAATACTGAAAAAGGGGTGAACCTAATACCTGTGCTTATCAGGACTTAAGTATCAATTCACTGTTTTTATGATACTTGGTTATACTGAATACAGTGTAAGCATATAAATGTAATTAGGCTGTGTAACATTTAGAAGCTAAATAAATACTCATGATAGTGAAGAGCTACTTTTTTTCCTCTGTTACTGGAACCTGAAAAATATATGTTGTAATGTAGTTAGCCTATTTTTGTATGGTTACTTTGCATTTTAAATCATATGAACTGTGTATTGCTGTGCATCACCACTGATAACTATAATTTATCTTGTTCCAATGTTGCAATATTCCCGTTACCAAAGCTAAAGATTTGATTCTCAAAGCCAAACCCTCTTTTCTGATTATCTGAGTAAGCTCAGAATCTTCAAAAGAGGTTTCACAGCAATCAAGACCAGCTGCTGGAGTTTGAATTGTGCAGCAGTCATGCAGTCAAAACGTGGGCTAGAACCTGGGCTTGCCTGATTTGTGTTTAATGCTATAAAAAGCATGAGGTGAGGAGGAGGGAATAGCAAGGTGGTGTTGTGCCTTTTCTGTCAGTCTGTAGTCTTGTGTTTAACCTCTGTCAGGAAACCTCCGCTGGTCTAGAAGGCTCTGACGTCAAGAACAGGGACCAAAGTAAAATCATCATACTCCAGTAATTCTGCAATCCAAGACCAGAAGTTAGAGGTGTAACATCATTGATGACCAGTCAAAAGTAGGAGAATCTTACGGTTTACAGTTGCAGAGCCAGAAATTAGCCCTAAAAGGAGGAGAGGAGTGGAAAACTGGGAAAAACAGCTTCATTCTCTTTTTAATATCTTGAGACAGGAGAACTTGAAATATACCACAGCATTGTGAAGTACAAAATCAACCAGATGAATGTAACTCCCCCATTTTCTGTCTCCCCATTTTTTGCTTTTGTTAGGATCTAGAGTCATATGAAGCATTCAAGATGCAGATGCATCTTGGATTTTATGGTTTTAGTGTTTTTTGGGGGGTATTGGTTGGCTGGCTTTGTTGTGTTGTTTTTTTCCTTGTTCCTACTAGTGAGCATAACTTGAGCATTTAAATTTTGAAGGTTGCTTTTTTAGCATGCCACATTGCCTTTCATTGTTTGGTCTTCTCTGTCTCTGTCATATTGTTCTGTTTGACATCCATTCTTGTTTGGATAGTTTTATCTCAGTAGCTGGAAAGAAATTTTCTAGGTCTCCCTACCTCACAAGTTTGTTGAGCCCCTCTGGTCAAGACCTAAGTTTTCTGTTTCCTTTGAAGCCAAAGTCTCAAGTGTTGGGGAGTGCTCTGGTATTGTTCTGGAGTGTTGCTTCTATACTCACTTGAAGGACATAGTGAACTGTGGCTACCCCATGGAAGATTTGAAAAACACTACAGTTATTTGTTGAGATTTATTCAACCTGACAAAGAAGGGTATGCATTCTTCGTAGTGGCTAGGGAAAGCAATATATATTCACTGGGTGATTAAAAGCTTTTCCCCTGATGTGTCTGTTGATTAAGCATTCCCTCTGTTGATTGAAGTATTGGTAGCTTAAAAGCTCACATTTCTAATTTCACTGACATTACAGTGTCTGTAAAATTACCTCTCTGGTTTTATTCTAGCCCGTAGCACTGAAATAGAAGTTTGTTTTAAACTTCTATGCATAGGAATATTTTTCAGACAAAAAAAACCCCACTTCCTAGTGCTTTTAATAAGATACTAATTTCCTTGCCAAGATTTATTAGATGCTTAACTAAGTCTAACAAGGACATAATTATAAGGAATGTATCCCTCTCTCTTGCACAGTAGGCTGAAAGAGTACTGGTCATTGTGTTGCAAATCTGTCTATCTCCTGTATTCTCTGAAGTGTTATATGTTGAATGGATCTGAAAGCTATGGGTGTGAGGGAGAGTGAAGTTCAGTCAGCATGTACTCATGTATCCATTAATCATATGCTTCCAGTGATATTTTGTTTCAGTTTGAAGATATCATGGTATGATTCCCAATAATTTGTTAGTAATAGACCTCTAAAATGTCTAGTTGGCTTTGTGTACTCATCATTGTGGTTCCTGCTGAGCCTGAAATTAAAAGTTCTGACAAGAAGCAAGGAATAAATATTTCTGTGTCATGCTCATTCTCCTACTCTCGTTCTCTGTTACACGGTCTCTCCCTTCTCACTTTCTGCTTTTGTTTTGGACCAGCCTTACTGCTGCGTCATAGTTACTGACGATGGTAATACTTTTTGACACCCTGGCAAGCATGCTGAACAAAGGTTCTAATGAAAATACAATTTTTTCTGATATATTCCAAATCAATTAAGACAGACTTCATGCATTTCATTGTCTCAAGCTGATCCTGTGTTTCTACAGTGCTTTCAGCCATCTGTCATAATTTTTTCACTTGTGCTGACTTCCGTATATATGGGTATTAACTCTAACCTATAGGGAATCACTGTGAACTATTGCAGTTTATAATTTTAACATTTTAAAATTGTTTCATTACCTTCTTTCTTCTTTCCAAAAATTACTTTTTTTTTTTTTTAATTTTTAATTCTCACATGAGGTGATTTTGTTTCTTAGGATTTTACAGACTAATGTGCTCATCTAGCATTTTGTTAACAGTGGGTTTTGAGTGAGTTGTAATCTGTTTACCACACTGAATGTGACACAACTGCTGATATGATTTCTTAATTGGCTGTTGTGAATTTCTTGAGAATCTTTTTCTAATGCTGGCTGTGTAGTTTAAAATATTTGTTATCATATGGACATCTTGATATCCAGTTATGTTTTCTTCTGTTGAGTTTCATCGCTTGTCTGGTCTTATGAACTCTTTGTACATAATGATGTGGAAAAGGGAATCCCCCATGGATATATAAATTTGTAAATTCATTAAATCAAATGGACTGTTTTCAAGTGAGGTGGAAGATGGGAGCATATGTGCAATTTGATATGCAAGTTCTATTGCAAACAGCTCAATACCAAGGATTATAGCAAGTGGCCTGACCAGCGATCTCTGACGAAGCATGCTTGTTTCGGCAGCAAACATTATTGAATGTTCTATTCCATTATGTGTAATAGTATTTGTAATTATTCTGTGGCAGTTTCGCCTAACTTTATTATTAGGATTACTGTACCTAAGCCTGTGAGCTCAAGTGAATATTCTTTCTGTTCCCCAAGCTATAAGCAAATAAGTGTGACCTTCTGGTATTCACTAGCAGCAGCATAACAACTATCAAGTTAATCATTATTTATAGTAAAAGGGCATGCTTTTACCCTCCTACTTATGGAACCCTGTGTCCTGTGAGGCTTCGTCGTGTGGCTGGGGATCTCAATTTGCATGCTTTTAGCATTAGATTAGTTAGTAATTGGAAAGAGTGAATGTTCTGTGACTTCTGCACCACAGTTCTAAATTAAGACCTGTGTGTCTCAGTTGTAGCAGGCTATTATGCCAAGAACTTGGGCAAACAAGTTACAATGTTTCAAGCTAGAGGAAGGAAGAAGCTCCTGTATTGTTTTGTTTCTGATAAAAATAAAGAGCCCTTGTGAGCTTATTGTTGACTGCTTTTTCAGAAGCTATATTTTTGTTTTGCTGGACCTGAGACTTTACTATGTAAAAATGTCATGGGGAATAAGTTGTCTCTGAACACAGTGCTCTAAATTCTTTCTATACTTTTTGTTGTGGAATCACAGTGTGTGCTACTGGATTTTTTTTTTTTTTAATGGAATAATATAATTGTTGATGTAGAATGAAAGTTGCCTCATTCTAGTTTTCCTTTCATTTGTTCTACCAAGATAATATTTTTGTCTGTGCATTTTGAGTATATCAGATTGTTTTGTGGGTAAGAAGAAAATATTCTACATTGTCATATTTCTCTCAAACAATTCTAATATGTTAATGACTTGGATAACCACTGTCAAAACCACATGAGCAATGTATTGTTAAAAACAGGCAGCAATATGGTACTACATTTAGAGTACTTCAAATTAAAAAGATTATGCAATATCTAAATTTATTTAAACTCTAAAACATTTCCTTTGTTTAAATACAGATAACAGTAGGAGTCAATTGGGATAATGCAACTAGGGCAACACTGTAACTACTTGATGTATTTCTCTGTAAGATGAAGATTGTATAGATTTAGTTGAGGGAATTGTTTGTGAACACTCATGTATTCTAAGTATCAGCTGTGAAATACATTGTCTTTTGGAGCAGTGGGTTTAAAATTTCTATTTGTTTTGACCTTCTCTTTTGGCCTTCTAAGGTACATACTTTTGAGTACCAAGCAGTTTACTTTGTCAGAATATACCATATGTACGATTCCTGCTTTGTAAGACTGGCCTCTTTGCTTTGTAATTAGTACCGTTGTTAGCTTCTGACCCATATGTGCCTGCATTTGCTAAAACAAGTATGACTGAATTGTTTGTGAATTTGTATGTAAAGATACTGTCCTTTGGTGGAAGATGCTATGAAGGTGGAAAATAATTCTGCAAAAATCCTGAGTAAAAAAAATAATAATCAAATGTCTGATAATTAGCTCCTGTTTTTTTTTTTTCTTTTTTTCTTAATTTATGTGGCTCTTACAGTGAATAGACTCTAGTAGATAAAATAGAAAGGAGTGTTAATATACTTATAGCTTAGACTCAGACTGTATCTCTGTGGATGTTAAGGTGATCTTTGATCTGCAGACTTTGCTTGACTAGAAATTTGCGCTATAGTAACTAGCCTTGTTTGCTGTTTAACTAAACAAATGTCACTTCCCCCCTCCCATCCCCGTCATATCTATTCTTTTGACCTGTTGTATTGCTTACAGTTCATGTGAATTACACCTAATCAGGACCCCAGCAAATCAGTACTTCTTGGACACTGAAAAGCTAGTTTTTCACAAGTCCCATTGGTTTTTATCAACCAATCTGGTTAGCAAAGAAAAGATGAATGAGGAAACTGTAGTAATGAGATATCAGCACTTCTGAAGTTAAAAATAAATGCTAAATATCCATCCTGGTTTGGCAGCATAGTTTTACTGAATAAACAATACACTGTAATTTATCACTGTGTAATTGTGTTCAGAACAGTTAATTTCAGTCCTGTACTCCAGTTGGTTTGCTCATCAAAGGTACAGTCAGTCTGGGGAGAGTAATCTCAGCAGTGAAGGTCTGGTGGTACATGTGGAGGGCCAAGTTGGACTGTAGCGTGAACACTGAAAAGCTCTTCTACAAAAACCCACCCAAATTTTAGCAAATATTGCAGCTATCATACCTATAAATGAGGGGCTGACTAGTCTCAACGCTCTGCTTTATTATATATGTCATCTAAGAACCAGAGTTTAAATTACAGTTCATCTGCTGGCCAATTTGGAGATACCATAATTGTATTTGAAGAGTCTGAAAGAGCTTATTGAGAAATAAGCTATCAAAAGACAAGTCTGGATTACTCTTAAATCCTTTGTCGGGTAAAAAGAGTATTTGTATTGAAATAACTCCTGCAGAAATCTATGAGGATACTACTGTGATGGGCTACTTCCTTCCTTTGCTGTTCCCAATGGCTTAACTCAGAGCCAGCAATGATCAGGTACCCTGATTTGTACCACGTCACACAAAATAATTATGTATGGTTCTGTGTACCTCCTAACACTCTGTACTAATTAATTACTTGGATATTTTAAAGTTGAGGTTAGTGAACAGTCTCATTTCACTGTATGGTTCTGTGAGAGTTCATGCTTTTTTGTATCCTGGTATAGAAGGCCCACATTTACTGGCAGTGGCAGTATATTCTGTATGTAGGTGTAGGGTTTAGCTTTTTTTTCCCTTTGCAAAGGGTGCCAAGATAAGTATTGTTACAAGTTTGTATTTCATTTTTAGTGTGTTATGTTTGTATAACTAGTAAGATGCATGCAGAAAGTTCATTTTTTCTGGGAATTAGTGTTCTTGGTTCTCCTTAATTTTTAATATTAAATGATAAGCAATGAAGGCAATCACTTCTTTTCATCAGGCTTGTCGTAAGTATGTATCCTGTGTAATATAGTTTGTATGCAATAGTGCATTGAAGATGTGAACTACATTTGTCATAAATTAGTGATGTGTAACATGACATTTAATAAAGAAATATATTTCCCAGAGTACAAGAGATTCTTGGTCCTCTTATAGTGAGTACATTGTTACTGATTTTAATGGATTTCACCTGTTGATGGAATGAGAATTAGGTGAAAGGTTCATAGAGGAAATGTAGATCTAAAGCTGGGTTGTTTTTTTTCCCCCACTCCTCTCAGCCTTCTTTGAATCCTGGGGGAAGACAAGCATCTGATGTAGTACTCTTGAACCAGTGGAGCATTCGAAATTATGATGTACAACGTGGGGACATTGTGTCATTGGTGTAAGTAATTTTGCATACATTTCAATACATGCTTATATAAATGTTGATCTCTCAGTATTTCATATTTAATATAGAATACTGTAAGTGTATATATATATGAATAAGGAACATAAAAATTTTAATAAGGCATTGTTATTCCTATAATCAGTTTTCAAAACTCAGATGTTCAAAGAATGCATTAACAAGTTTTTACTTGAAAGGAATGCAATGTAAGATATTATTTGATACAGGATATATGTGTACCAAAACTGCCAAGAAAAAAGAGCTGTGAGATGAAGAGAGAAAATAGATAAAGCATTATGTGGCTGTGCAGTCATATTTGTGAGAAAAATAGCGTTTCTTTACCAATTAATACTAACATTTTTTTCTTCCTGGAGAAATATGACTACTGAATAAAATTTTAAATAAGATCACAAGGATTCAACTGTCTCCATAAAAAACAAACGTAGAAAAAAAATTTTACAAATATAATGGGGAGGTCTATGTATCAAGCCAAAAGGTGGCAGTGTTTCACTGTTGAAAATATTCAAGACCAGTAGAGGACAGAAACTCCATTTTAGCCTTAATGTAATAAAGAAATGGAATGTCAAAATGTGTATAACTGACACAATGATATAATACATACTCATATTACATGCTTGGGTAGTTTAGGCTTAAGGTTCTACTTTTGTAAGTGAAACGCACAATATGTAGATTGTAACAGAACTGTCTGGAAGCTATGTTGTCTGGCTTCCTTTTTGTCATATCTCTCTTCTAATTGTCCCATGTTTTTCTCTACCTCTTCACTGTAGTGGTAATTTGTATTACTGGTAATTTATATTATCACTACCAGCTCTTAAAGCAAACTTTCTCATGTAGTCGTCTTTTGTTAGAAACTTAAAATTTACTTTATGGACCGTCTTACTGTCTGGCATGTAAGATTTTCCGTAAATGGTCTAGCTACAAATATGAATTTATTCATGTTTGCAACACCTGATATTGCAAAATGACTCCAATTTCAGGTCACTTAGTCACTGCTTGTAAAATTTGATTCTGCCTGTGTGTGCATCCCTCTGCCCAAGTCATGCTCCTGTGACTGTTGAAACAGTGAATGTAACTGATTAGTAATTAATAGACTGAACAGAAGATGAGCATGTCTGATCAGAAAACTGTATGAATAGTTTAATTCTTATTATACTTCTGGAAGGTTTCTGGTACCATCTGAATCATCTGCATTAATTGCTTTCACTTTTCTGTATGTTTGGGCATGATAGCTAATATTTTAGATGCTGTTGGCTTTTTGTATGTTTTGAAAATTTTGCCTGTTACTGGTGGAGCTTATGTACACCCATGTGGCAGAAGTCACGTTGTGTTTATGCACTTTACTGAGGTTTTTCTTAATCTTTGGGGAAGTACACTGAATAATCAGACTAGAGCATTCAAAAAGTGCTTTAAGAACAATACAAAGGAAGTTAATGTAAAAATCTGTTGGGTTTTGATATGAAAATATTGAAGGATATTTTATATATTGGTAACAACTTTTAAGTTGTTAAGTACTTCATGATATGGGTTCATTAGAAGCAGCTTTGGCCTACTAGCTTATTGTGATGTAAAGTTTTAAATTGTGTTTTAAAGAGTTGAAGGATATAGTGTCTAGATGTGATTTTTGCATCCAAGTGAGCTGTTTGAGACAACTTTTGGTACATGAAACTTTAGTTGTGTAAAAGGTTAACATTTTTATTCTTTTCATTTAGATGGTTTACCTATGATTTCTATAACTCACTAGTGAATAGATATCCTATGTATACACATTAATTTTACTTGTTGGCCCTCAGAGGATTTGGCTGATTTAGGTGAGGCATGAACAGGGAAGGTCAGTCTCCCATCAGCTGCTGCTTTTTCTGTTCCTGTCGGAAATTCAGATAAGAAAGTACACGTGTGACTGAGATAGGCAGATGGATATGTAAACCTTCTTTCATATCTTACTTTGATTAACATTTATTCAGTGTCTCCTCTTTGCTGAGTCATAGTAGAAAATAGCTACGAGGTTGTGGGAGGGTGGTGTTTTGCAAAGCAAGAGCTGAGGTCAGATATTCCTTCATGGCAGTTTGACCAGGGCCATCCAAACTCTTTGCTTTCTTCATGCATCAGAAATACTGTGTCATTCTGGATGGTGCTTGTGCTGGTTTAGGCCCTGCTGGGACTGGAGACCACGTTGCCGTTGTCCCTCCCCTACCCTCGGACACAACTAGGGCACAAACTCCGGGGTTGAAATAAGGAGAAATTTAATACAACAGTGTAATAAACAATCTGAACAACAACAACAATATCAATAATAACAACAATAAACAATGGTAACAGTAAACAAGACAAAAGATATACAGAGAAATATCACAATGGACACAGCCTGCCTGCCGCGCGTGCTTCCCGTGACAAGCACCACAAAGGAAAAGCTTTCTGTGCTGCTGAGCTGGACCTGACACAGCATGCTATGAGTAACCCGGCTGGAGATCCCTTCTCCCTGCTGGGGAAACTTAACCCTATCCTAGCTGAACCAGGACAGTTCTGTTTCTATCATAGTTCTTAAAAGGGATTGTTGAGATCCCATCTGGCAAAGTCCAGTTGGCCAACACCCAAACCTTGGAGCAAAGAGATGAGTTAGTCTTGGTTATCCCTGGATGCCCCAAGAGAGCATCAATCAGCCTGTGAGTATGCTTGTGATACTGCTTGCAGATCCAAAAGTTTTTCCTCTCTCATCTAATCTAGTTCTTGACAAACGTCTATATATATTTGCTATTTTCTGACTTTGATTACAAATGAGTGCCCTGTCCCCAAGCACTTGGTGGCGTTTGTCTGGTTAAGGTATTAATGAAGACTGCATGTTTATGGAAACATGTCATGTGTCTCTGTCATCCTTGTCTCTGCATCTGATGTAGGTGTAACTATTCATCACAACCACAACTGTGAAGTTAGCCACTCTGTGCACACACATACATATACCTTGTTTTAGACATGACATTTAAATGACATCAGTCCTTTGAAGTATGATATTAAAGTCAGATAAAACCAATGGAGTGAATAAGTTGACAGCAAAGAACCATTTGTTTACTTGCAGTTTAGTGCTTTACAAATAGTTAAATCTTACCTCAGCTTTTTAGATGTTTTAACTTTTTCCTTTTAGCTTAAATTCATGTTTATTGATACCAGAATTAAGAGACCTCAGTGTTAGATATTACAAGTTTTAAACTCACAATTCAGAACTAAGTGAAATTAATATCATCCTTAATTTGATCACTTGCTTGAGTGCTTAATTTAGATACGGCTATATTACTGGGACTTAATAAATTAAAAAATCAAAACAGGAATATTTTTTCAATAAATAATTTTGGTTATTACGTGTTCCTGAATAGTACCTTTGCATCTCTTAATAGACTTTTTTTTTTGCATATGTTTATTTTCTTTGTTTTGGAAATGCATTTATTTCTCTTCAAGGAGAGAACATAGTCATGTAGCACATAGGGTAATCTTTAAAAGATAAATTAATGCATATTTTTGCCATGCAGACCTTGGTCTTTCAATAACTTTTGTGGTGAAGTGGGCGTTTTCTTCTGTAAGATCTCTGCTGTGGTAGATACCAACAGTTATGTAGAGCTTTATCAGGTATTGCAGAATGAGTTACAAGGTGAGTGGCCTTCTCCCAGCTGGTTTTACTCTGTACAGTTTGTGTGTCCAACAGCATTGTAGCTGTAGCGGTGTGCATCACAGTGTGGGCTGTACAGCTCATGCAGGTCCTTGGGAATATATGCTGCAATTCCACTACCTGGTAGTAATGGAGATAGTGTTGTTCTATTGCATATTAATGGACATTTTTACCAATTTACCTATATGTAATTTGATTTCTGCTATGTACAAATCCAGGCACTGTTCTAAAATGGTGTTGTCAAAGAGTGATTTATAGCTCTAGAATTAATTTTTCTTGCCTTCACTGAAAACCTTATCCTGATTGTAAAATTGTGCCCTCTTTTTATTCCAGAATTTCTGTCTTAATGTAGAAAAAAATCATTGTAACACGTAGAAGATTGAAAAATCAGTATGTGTATGTAAAATGCGTGTTCTATCGATATGACAAAATTTAAGTCAGCTTTTGAAATGAATGTACAACAGTATTAATTCAGACATTTTAAATGTTTTTTAGATAAGTTTGGACACTGTCTTGTTCTTGGTTAATAGATTTTTAACAGAGGCTTTAACAATGACTGCAGTATAAATAGGGCTGTTAGATTTTTGAATGATGAAATTTCAAGGTTGTAAATATTCACAGATTCTAATTTTAGCATTTGGAGGTTGTGTTACTTCTGTAACAGAAGACACTCCAAGGTGTGTCTGAGATCAGTAACCGACTTGCTGGGTCGGTTGCTAGGTGTCCCTCCATTTCTAATTTAGAACATGTGCTTTTTTGTTAAATAAAAATAGCTATGCTCATTTAATCTGCATAAAGATTGAGAACCAATGCTGTTTGTTCCGTACATTCTGAACGGTAACATGCTTGTAAAATTTTGAACTACAATAGCTACATGGAAATGGGCAGTATATTTAAAAACATGTTTTTGAAAGTCAACTGTAATAAAAAGGAAATAAATGTATGTTTTGTCAGCTTCTTTTAAATTCTTATATAGAAGCATAATTGCTTTAAGTACAAACCCAACTCTTTACATAGAAAATTCCTTGACATTTAAAAAAATCCTCATACTTCCTATCTTCTGTTTTGATGTATAATATTAAGTGTCTTCTATCACTGCTTCCTCTGACTGTAAGATTATGTTCAGGCCTTTCAGCCTGTAAGGATATGTGTGTTTGAGCTCTGAAAAATTCAGTGCAAATGAACATTCTGGAGGTACTTCATGGGAGGTTGTCTGCAGCGGTGTCTGTCACTGACATCTGTTCAGAAATGAGACTCAGAAAAGATAGTTGCCATGATGATTTTATGTGATGGTTCAGTAAGTTTCAGCCTATTCACACAA